TCCATTTGTAGGTTATTTTCCCTCACAAGAAGCTGTCTTTTCGCATCTTGGACACGGTAAATATAGTTTAAATATGATATTTTTCTATAGAGTAAATTACACGAATGGTCCCTATGGTTTGGAGTAATTTGCACGTTTGGTCCCTAACTTATTTTTTTTAACTCGGAAGGTCTTTACTGTTTGTTTTTGTTACGGGTGTGGTCCCTACTATTTGTTTTTATTACAAGTTTGGTCCCTGTCTTACCTAAAACAGTCTTTTTAGGTAAGACAGGGACCAATCGCGTAACAAAAACAAACAATAGGAACCTTCCGAGTGAAAAAAATAAGTTAGGGACCAAATACGCAAATTACCCTAAACCATTGGGACCATTCATGTAATTTAGTCTTTTCTTTATGTGAGTGTGTGTGTCTTTATGTTTGCATTCTTTTCAAATCATTTCTTTTATAAAGAAGTAGACTAATTGATCAGTTTGGGTGATGTTGTTGCTTAAATGTTAATATTTGGTATTTTTATGCAAATTTATGAACACCCTTTTCTTTTCTTGTTACTTTCCTTGGTTTTAGGCTCTTATTAATAAAAAATGATATCCTAAATCTTGAGAATTTCAAATCTTTTTACACACCCATTTGAGGATCCAAATTTCTCAACTTGTATTTATTGATATTTGATCTTTTAAACAACAATTCTAGAGATTTAGTTGGTCTTATAAAAGTATATTTAAATACTTTTTTAAATGATTGAATTGTTTTGTTTGCTTGCTTGTTGTAAAGGTACGCTTGGATGCTGCATCCATCTTGGGGCTATTAGCTTACTTCATAAACTACAAATTTGAGGACATAAAGTCATCCCCGTAAGTATGCTCTTATTTTTATTTATTTATTTAAAGACTCTGCAGTATGCAAGAAATAAAAAACCGATATAGTTATATTTATACATTTGTATTAAAACATGATTTATGTTTTAAAAAAATTTGAGTAATTCAATTAATGCAGATCAGCAATACTTCTAGATGTGATTGCAGCAAGTGCTCTTGTGATATATTTGTCACGTATAATTCTGGGATACAAACAGACATGGGATCGATATCAAGTATCTCACTATTTCTTCCTTAATAATAATAATAATAATAAAAAGAATCTTGAATTTCTCAATCTCATTTTTTCAATTTTCTTTTTCTAGCTTTTGGTCAACAGGACACTTTATGAGAAGACTCTTGCCAGTGGTTTTGGATCTGTTCACTTTCTTCTGGATGCTTCTGAACAACAACAAGTGAGGAATTATAATTCTCACACATTACTTATGTTCTTTTCATAATAGCAACATACTTACAATATTCTTTATTGATAAGCACACTGCTATTTTGGGTAATGAAAGTATAAGTATGTTGGTGAAATGACTAATATACCCTTCATTCCAATTAAACTTTATGTGCAGTACAAGGAAGCCATTTTGGCATATGCCATTTTACTCAAATCTGGGAGTACACAGGTTAGATTATTATATTCTATTTAAGTGACAATTCTATGTTGCTTTTTTTTAATCACATATTGCATTTTCTAGGGCTTTTTTTGGTTGTTGGGATGAGGAGGGTATTTATGTCTTTTGAGCACAAGTACAATGTCTTGATAAAAAAAAAAAATAATTGAAAGTACAATGCTGTAATAAAAAGAAATGTATTAGTGTCCTTTATAGTGTTAGTAAACTCTAGTTTAGATGTTTTGAGATTGTAATGTTATTATATATATATTTTTTGTAGGCCACTTTTGCAGATAGTGCTCGAGATCAGTGTGAAAGATTTATGTACGATGTGTTCAGAAAAAAGGTAATGAGACAAAAAACATTACTTTTTTTATTTGCAAAATTGGTATAAATGGTCATAAAAAAAATGGTCGATTTAAAATATTTCAAAGGAAGCATCAAAGCTTCATTAACTTATAGCAATTTCATTGATACAGTTGGGTTTTAATAAAAAGAAATAATAGTAGGGTTTTATGAAAATATGTGTATTTTTTATATAGGTTGAAATGCCGATTGATAAAGCTGTAAATACATTAATGAGATTGGATCTTCTTATAGAAAAAGAAGTTGGTGGAAGAATTGGATTACAACCAATTCCTTGTTCCAAGGCATACACAATCCTCAAACAACGTTGGAACAGTTTTGTTAGTTAAGTTTGTTCATAATTAGGTTATACAGATAAAGTATATGGGCCCACAGCCAACATGGGAAAGGTAAATCACACTGTCCCAGACTGAGATCTCAATTATGGATTTTCATCTCCTTGTGAGTATCACAAGCATGCGGGATTATCAATAGTTTTGTACAATTATGTCATAATTTTTATTAGAGATGTTATTTAAAGTGTTTGTATTTTTTTTTTCTTTTTCCAAAGGTATATGTACAGTTTAGAAATATGATCTTGTTATGGTTATAATACTTTTCTTATCTTTTCATGCAATTATTTAATCTTCTTAAATCTTAAATATGATCCTATACACTTAATCGAAACTAAGGCTATCTCCAATAGTTAACATTTTAAAGGCTTCTTACTTTTGCCACATTAGTTTTCTAGTAACCTTTATCTATCAAAAGACTATTTCTATAAATCTTCTCCAATGGTTTAAAAATGTTTATTTATTTTATAAATTAACTTATTTATATTTACTTTCTCATATTGTTATATAAACTCCTACTATATAATTTGTCTATTTGCAACTCTATGTAATATTTTTTCAAAATGAATTTAGCTAATATTATTTTTTTTAATAAATAACAAAACGATAAAATAGTATGTTTCAACAATGTTTTTAATCTTTGGTATTTGCATCATTTTGAAAATTGAAAATTATTTTTTTATGATAAAAATTTTGATAAAATTATTCAAATATATTTAGTATATTTAATTAAATTGATTAAATAATAAAAAATTAATATCTAAAAACACTCCTCTATAAAATGTTTTGCAAAAGCTCATCAAATAGGTACAAAACTTAACAAAAACTACCGTCAATCGGAGATGCTCTTAATAAAGTTTACCATCAAATTTTGGTATACAAATTGTATCCTCAAAACTTCATTTAGATTTAGGATTAATTGGGACAATCTTAGAAAAACCCAACATATTTTTATAAAATCCTTAAAAAAAAACCACTATATTATTTTTTTGTGCGTTAAAACCTTTATATTTTTTAAAATGTTTATTTTAAAGCTTTGAGTTCAATAAAGGGATAATATCATAAAAAGCCTTAAGGTTGGTAGAAAATGTCCGTTTTACCTTTTGACAGATTTTTGGTTCGTTTATACCGCAAACTTTTCATTTTTTTGTCGGTTTTACCATTGTTATCTGTAATAGCAGGTTTCCAGGTTACTATGAATTATTTTTTGCGAAAAAACCCTTAAGTTTACAAATATTTTGCAAAAAAACCCTTAAGATTATAAACATATAAAATATAAATATATATTCAAAATTTGATAAAACTATAGTTTTCTACTGAAACATATTTTTAGCTTTAAATACGGTAACTTTTATATTGGTTTGATATAAACTTTTTATATTTAAATTATAAAAAAAACTACCTAGTTTTATCAAAATTTGAATATATTTCTTAATTAATACTTCAACTTTTCAAAAAAAAAAAAAATTAAAAAACATCTGTTAGTTAATAATTAATTATGATAAAATAGTTAATATGAATAATATGACATCAAGTACATTCAATTAATTTTTTTAAAAAGCAGATAAAAATATTTTATATGTTTAAAATGTTTGTATTTCAGAAATACTAATGTATCATATTTTTTATATGTTTAAATACATAATAATATTATCATATTTTTTTTTATAAAAATATCATAAACATTTTAAACATCAAAAATAAATATAAACATTTTAAACATATAAAATATAAATATATTTGTCTAATTTATTATATAAATATATTTATTTTTATAAAAAAATATGATATTTTATTATTTCTGAAACACAAACATTTTAAACATATAAAATATTTTTATCTACCTTTTAAAAAAATTAATTGAATGTACTTGATGCCATATTATTCATATTAACTATTTTAGCATAATTAATTATTAACTAACAGATGTTTTTTAATTTTGTTTTTAAAAGTTGTAGTATTAATTAAGAAATATATTCAAATTTTGATAAAACTAGGTAACTTTTTTAAAATTTAAATATAAAAAAATTATATCAAACCAATATAAAAGCTATCGTATGTAAAGCTAAAAATATGTTTCAATAGAAAACTATAGTTTTATCAAATTTTGAATATATATTTATATTTTATATGTTTATAATCTTAAGGGTTTTTTTCGCAAAATATTTGTAAACTTAAGGGTTTTTTCGCAAAAAATAATTCATAGTAACCTGGAAACTTGGTATTGCAGGTAACAAGGGCAAAACTGACAAAAAAAATGATAAGTTTGCGGTATAAACGAACCAAAAATCTGCCGAAGGGTAAAACCGACATTTTCTGCCAAACTTAAGGCTTTTTATGATATTATCCCATCAATAAACCTTAGATAGCAAAAAATGCTAGGTAATTGATTCTCATTGATTTGATAGTTATAATCCATTATATTTCAAAAAATTTAACGGTTTTAATGTACTAAAAAAATAATATAATGTTTTTTTAATGCTTAGATGAAAACAGATTGGGTTTTTCTAAGATCAAAAAGATTTAAATGAGACTTTGAGAAAATATAATGGTTTTTTTTATACTAAAAAATAATATAATGTTTTTTTAAGAATCAAATGAAAATATATTGGTTTTTTATGGGGTTTTCGTATTAATTTTATAAACTTCTTTTTCTTTGAACCGCAGGACAGTTGAATGTTATAAATTGTAATTAATTTAGCTTACAAATGAGCGTGTTATTATAAAATAATAATAATAATAATAATAATAATAATTAAACACATCATAAGCAAATAAATTGAAAATAGAAAACATGCCACCTATAACAACATATTGTTTTTTACGGTAAGACGATACGATACTTTTAAGTTTTAATAGTAAAAAAAAATTGTAAACTGCTTAAATAAACATTTAAAATAGTTTCTTGGTTTTTTCAACGTTAACCAAAGGTTGCACTCATTTTGGTTACACTAAACTTTTTAAATATCGCCAACATATTTATTTCAAATGCAAGTTGGAATAACAATAGCCAACTAATAGACCATTAAGAACTTAAGCCTAAACACTCATAGAATTTGCCAGAAGCGATTCAATAATATGGATCATTTCCTTTCCGGCATGATTGTAATCGTCACCACGTTTATACAAAACATCACAAACTCGTGCTAGGTTGATTGGAGGCATGAGCAGAGGCCTCGGTATATCAGTTGGCCTTAGGGACTCTTGATTTATAACTTTCCATGAATCTTCGACTTGTATTGAGAATATTTCACGTGTTTGTTCCTCCGAGACACCATATTGCTTCATGTAACATTCAATGCTAGAAGCTACGTGGTTCCTTTCTTGTTCCTCCTATAGCATTGAAACAAATTGCTTCAAATAACCTTATATTGTATATGTATACGTATCCATACATAATTAGTTTAATTTTAATTATGTAAGTTTAACACACCTCGTGGGTAGCAATATCATCCATAAGCCTTAAAATCAAACATGAAGCTTTCACGAGAGGAGGATAGGTGGACACCCATTTGAATGCATCCTCAGTGACCAAATCATCACCATGCACATAACATTTTGCTATGATCATGCCATAAGCACATGTTACCATTGTAACTGACATGTGTTCTTCTACGGTAGGAATGTAGCCCTCTTTTGCCCATTTGGCTTCGATTAGGAGATTTCGAGTGTACTCTTTCACCTGGTTGCCAAACGAGTGAAATGCTAGGTAATTAGATTATTATTCTCATAATGATTTGAATTTGTATACTTAGGAGAAGTATTATTTAATAAAAAGTAATTGATGTTCATATTAATTACATACCATCTCTTTAGTATAGTAACTATGATATGCTTTCCCTTTGGGTTCTAGTAGTTCCTCAGCTTCTTTGTAAACATCCAAAAGTTCTTGATATATGATTTTCATGTACTCAGGAAGTGTATCAATGCAACTTGCCGACCATCTATATATACGTCAAAATGATCAATATGTCGTTTTAAAATATCATGGGAATCTATTGCGTTAACTATAAATAAATGCATATATCACATACCTTTGAACAGCTTGGGTAAAGATCTCAAGCTCTTCATACGTACCATAGTTATCATATGTGTCATCCAATATGATAACAAGATTGCATGTTTTCATTAGAAAGATCCGTGCATCAGAATATTGAGGCTCAAAATAAACTGCCAATATCCAAAAGTAGCCTTCTACCAATCTATCCCGAACATAAGGTAGCTTGTTTTGTAAATCCAAATTCTTCCACCATCTATTTAGACACATAAAAGTCATGAGCTTATGAGAAGAATTAAATGAATCGATTAACAAATTAAGGAGATTGATTAAGTACCCTTCGATCTAATTATCAATATGATTCGTGTACGTAGCCATTATTATCAAGGTGATCAATCTTTACATTAGAAAATTATAGAAGTTGTTAGCATATATATATACGTACTTGCTGATCTGGCTGAGCTCCTTTTTGTGCAAGGATTGAAGTAAATTGAAATCCAACATGGAAAACTTTAGTAAGGCCTCATTATGCGAAGCTTCTTTCTGGTAGATGGGTATGTAACGCAACGCCTCTAGCCTTGGTAACCTTTTGCGAAGAGGTTGTTCAAGTGCTTCTTCTATCTGAATCTTAAGAGATGCGTCCTTACACAGATGATCATTAGCTATGTTTTCAAGTTGTAAAGTCGTAAAACTGAGGGCTTCATCTAAAACTTCTTCGCCTTCCACCCTCATGTATGCAGCTTCATACAAAGAAAGCATGCCTTGAACATCTTTTCTTACAGATTCCATGAAATTTCCCTTGCTATCCATATACTTCTTGAATATTCCTGTAACGTTATATATAAAAGTGTACGTGATTAAATGTTGTACGTTTTCTTGCAGCTGCATTAATTAATTGATTCCGGATAGTATTAGTTCACTAGAAAAGTGAGATGTTCATTGGTGTTCAAAGTTTTTGGATTTTTCTAGATTAGGTTTTTGCAATATTCCACGTGATTTTTGTACACCAACTTTTAATTTATTCATACTGAGTTTTTTTTAGTGAACTAGATTAATTAATAATTAATTACCACTTGAAACATTGAAGCCTTGTTGACGTAGGAGTCTGAACCAAACGGAAGTGCTTTGGAGGTTGCTATCATCAATATTCCAATGATCTCCATATGTAACAAAAATATGGTTTAAGGTTTCCTCGATTTCCTCCTCGAAATGATATGCTACACCGAGTCGTTGTACGACATCAATGAGTTGAATCAGCTTCACATGTTGCATTTGTTCGTTTGAAGCAGTATCGACTACTAGTTGTTTTCTCACTTCCTCTCTCAGTTCTTTAGCTTGTTGCTCCTCCCAAGCTTGATCCTCTCTCTGCATGCAAACATGAAATTAACATTAACAAAAATACGAATAGAATGATTATTCTTGGGACGAGATATTTAATTTCTAGTACTAATATACAGACCTCATTGTAAGTAAGAAACCGATCTCCCCAAATGCTACGATGGAAGTTCACTGTGCTGCGTATAACGGTTTCTTTACTGATGTTAAGATCGGTGACTGAAGAAGAGTAAGAACAAAGAACAGGAGAAGACATAGTGTTGATGTAAGCTGATAAAGTAAAGATTAAGAGCCGAAGCAAGTGATAGCATAAAAGTTGAATGATAGGAAGGAAGGAATGGATTGGGATATTTATATAGGCCATGGCAAGAGATATATCAGATGGTCAACTTCATTCCTTGCACAATCAATGGCTGCTGCGGCAGCTTTCCGGTTTCTTCCACCGTTGAAGTCAAATGTTTCTTTGGTTGGATTTTGCTAAAATAAGAAATTGTATTTAATTTAATTGACATAAAAACAATAATTTTACACATCAGAGCAGCCTTGGTCCTTGGAAGCCATGACTTCCATCATTATTATTATTATTATTATTATTATTATATATATATATATATATATATATATATATATATATATATATATATATATATATATATATATATATATATATATATTGGAACGGTAAATTTATGCTACTATTATTACTACATTTAGAATAAGTTATATTATATGTTTGGTTCACATTTTCCCGAAAATTTGCTGTTTAGTCCAAAACATTATGTATAAGAAGTTTTATACTTAGAGTTTTTATATGATTTTTGGTCTATGTTCTAAATAAAATGATTGTAATATATTTCATTTGATTTTTTTGTAATAAAGTAGTTATTTATCTTTATATTGTTGTTATTTTTAAATAGGCCGATTACCTCACATCACCCCTTCCTTGTTATCGTAATACCAATGAACAATCTCACCACCTCAGCCATTCTTGGAATTCACCCAAACACAAAACCTGATAAAAACATAAGGACTTTAGGGTTAATATTCCCGTCCCACCCCTTTCGTGTTACCGGGACACCAACCAACACTACAACAATCGGACCCTGTGGAGACGAAAATTTCAGACCCTATGGAGACGACAAGTCGTCGGCATAGGGTATGGCGACGACAGGTCGTCGGGAAAAAGTCGTCGGCATAGGTCTGTTAGGTCGTCGGCATAGATGATGTCGGTATAGCTAGCTCTATTGCGACGACATGTCGTCGGCACAGATTTTGTCAACAACATTTTCGGGGGGAAAAAATAAAGTTTTATTAAAATCCTATGGCGACGACAAATCGTCGGGATAGCTATGGGGACAACTAGTCGTCTGGACAAGTTGAAGCTATTACGACGCTATGTTGTCGCTACAGGGTTTTATCAGTTAACGGTTATGGACCTATAGCGATGATTAGTCGTCGGGATAGCTACTGGTTGATTTTTTTTAGCTTTACAGGTTTTGTACATTACCATTCCTGCATTTTTAACAAATCCAAAAAACATTGCAGCATATATCAATTGAAATACATTAACTAGGTACCATTGTTCAAATTCAAAACATCAAATTCAAGTTTAATATTACAATAAGTAGTTAACTAATATTGTTTATAATACTAAAAAAACATCAATCATCATTATCATAATCGTCTTCTTCTTCTTCTTCTTCTTCTTCCATCCTTTCGGAAAATTGTTGAGAGCTACTTGCTTGTGTGTTATAGTTGAATAGAAAGTTAGGAAATGGTGGTGGTTGGAAGTTCGGAATACAAGCCGCCAATGATGCATTATATTCTTGCAAATATTCTTGCATTTGTTGTGCATCGAATTGGGATTGAGATTGAGGTTGAGATTGAGACGATTTGGAAGTGGAAGACCGTTCATTTGGAATTAAACCGAAGTTGGCGGCTGGTCTCCTATCCACCCCGCAAGCATGTCCACGTCTCATCTCAAGGGCACGTTCTAAATATTCTTCCTCGTTTACTTCTCCTCCTTCCCCAACCTCGTTTTGCATTTTCTCATATTCATTTTGAATTTTCTCCTAAAATAAAGAAAACAATTAACATACGTTAATTAAAACAAACAACTAAACTTAAACATTCAAAAAATAATAATATTCCATAAACAAGAAACTATAATTAATAATAATATATTTAAACAACATATTCATTTCGTTTATCACTTACCCAATCTTCTTCTGCTTGACTTGTACACCAACCCGAACCTTCTTTGTAGCGCATTTGTCTCCAACCCTCAATATGTTGCGGCTTGATTCCCATTTGTTTCTATAACAAGTGAAAAAACAATAAATATATTTGTACAAATGTTAACAACAATTTTAAATAATACTAATGTATTTTATTACCTCTAAATAACGCCGTTCAGCATAGGGTCTACATCTGTGAGCACTTGTGTGTGGAAGTTTCGACCTAGTAACTTTATTTTTTTTCCGACGTGCGTCTGTATTCCTCGGTCAAAAACAACAAATCAGTCATATCGTTCCAAGCTTGGGCGGTCCAATCATTCGGTGGATGTCTTCTTACCCTTTCCACATTACGATATCCACCAACTCTTTCAAAATGTTTTTTTATCTGATACTTGCGCTCTCAATAAGCTCTTTGCATATCTGCTTGGATACCCGCTCGAAGGGGTTCCCACAAGTTTGTGCCCCGATACCTATTAATATCAAAATAAGTCTACAAAAGAAAAAACATATTTGATTAGTAAAAAAATATTTAATAAGTGTAAAATTCAATACATATAAAATATATTGTATATTTACCTCTAGCTCGGGATATAAATCAGCTTTGTACTTGGTAGGAACACGACGCCAAGTATGATAATGCAACGGTACCTTTGATCCCACAATATTTGAGATCAGTCTGACAAACATTTGCCCGTTGTCCCCTATAAATCGATACGTCCGTCCGGAGATATCAATTCTCAAATCCAAAGGCCTACACTTTTTTTTTTCATACTCATCGTACAAATTTAAGTTTCTCCCTTTGCCACGTACATTCACATTCACATTCTTCACTTGTACTATATTTACATATACAATTGGAAATTTAGAAATTTAAAACTTTAATATATAATAATAATTAAAAATTTCATATAACTTACAAGATTGGCAACCCGATGGTACACCGCGTGCAAACCCGTGTGGAGGTCTATCCCCACCGTCTCCTCTGTGTCCCCTCGCGACTTCTACCATCTGTTTAACAAATATTATAAACATTCAAAAAATATAATAAAACTACAAATAAGCAACATTTCAAAATTTAACAAATATTATAAGCAATCAGGACATATAATAACAATAATATACCGTCAATCAGATTCATCACTAAAACAATATACAAGTACAACATCATCATCACTCTCATAATTTTCATTATTTATTTTTTCATCTGAAGAGTACATATCATCATCGTCATTTTCATCATTAATGAAATCGGCATCGTTTATATTAGGAGCAACATTCCTCCTAGCAACCACACTTGATTCACCAACTTCACCTAAAGTCGTCTGCATAGGTAAGGTGCCTAAGTCGACAACCAAGGTAAAATCAGTTGATTGAGTGTTGTTCGCAACATCTATCTCATTCACAACACCGATACTTGGATGATTCCAAAGTTTTCGATGATGAACCTCTTCCACAACTCTCCAGTTATTGTTTTGAGTGGGATCTTGGAGATAAAATACTTGTTTAGCTTATGTGGCTAAGATGTATTGTTGATCATCAAACCAAGTTTTACCGACATACCATTCATGACTGGTATCAATAAGAATCATATTATTTATAGTCTTTAAACGTCCATTACGTAATGAGGCATTGAACCATTTACCACGAAAGAGTACAACTGATTTATCATATAAATAATGCAACTCTATGATCTCCTCTAATTGACCATAGAATGGTGTACCGTCTTCTCCGAATGTAACAACACCACTATTTTGAGTAGTGCGTCAGAGATCACGACTATTCACGACAAATCGGACACCATTTACTATGCATGCAATGTACGAATATGCACACAACGGACCATATGACAATGCCTTTAATTCGTCAGTACAGTCCGTAGGCACATCTTTTTGGAGACAATAAATTTGTAAGGAAATATAAGATTGTATGTTTAAGTAATAACTTAGTTTTACATTATAAATATATAACATACTTACCTTTTCTTTGAACCATGAAGGAAATTCCTTTTTGAAATCACTTTTAGGCAATTCTAATTTGAATTCACTGAATATGGGACAAAATAATTAGAATAGTTAAAACACTATCAAAAAGGTAGTTAATAGATTAGAAACTTACGATTTGTAGCTTCTCATCTCATCCTCATCGCAATTGTTTAGTACAAACCAATGCAATGATTTTTTGGTCTCGTTACAAAGTTCAGCGATTTTCTTAGCCGACATTGTTCGACATTGTGATGAGAAGACAGAAAATTGCCTTTTTGGAAGGTCGGGATCATCATTTCTATCAGCACGGTTGAATTTAGTTTGCATACCCTCAAGATACATAGAGCAAAATGTCAAAGCTTTTTCTGCAACATAACCCTCTGCTATTGAACCTTCTGGTTTGGCTTTGTTTCTGACATAATTTTTAAGTTTTTTCATATATCTTTCAAAAGGATACATCCATCTCATGTGTACAGGACCTCCAAGAACGGCTTCATCAGGTAAATGAAGAATAAGATGAATCATTATGTCGAAAAATGTTGGAGGATATATCAACTCAAGATTGCATAAGATCTTCACCACTTCTGTTCTGGCATTTCTCATGTCGTTAACATCCAATGACCGTGCACAAATTTTTTTAAAGAATGTACACAGGTCAATGATTGTTCTTGAAACATTTTTTTGGGAGACATGCTCGAACCCCGATAGGTAGCAATCGTTGCATGAGGACGTGATGATCATGAGACTTCAACCTAACCAAATTTGATTCAGTATCATTAACCTTCTTCTTAAAGTTCGATCCAAAACCATCAGGTAGTCTCACTCCTTTAATGAATTGACAGAAACGTTGTCGATCAATTGGTTTGAAAGAGTAAGAAGCATGTGGGAGTATTTCCTTCTTCTTGTTTTCTTCCTTGTTGTGTTTCTTCATCTTCTTGACTTTCTCTTTTGGCCATTGATCTTGTCTAATGCCCATATTTTTCAAGTCAATTCTTGCTTCTTTTTTGTCTTTGCTTTTATCGTTCATCATTGCATTATTCAACACACTCTCATTCACATTCTTTGAAATATGCATAACATCGAAATTGTGTTTTAGGTCGAGGGAAG